CATCATTTTTCTTCTTCTTTTCACCATTGTTTTCTATTTTTCTCTTTCTTCTTCTTCTTAGTTAGGGTTTAAGCTTGTATTTCAAATTCAACTTTGGAACTTGGATTGATTGTAAGTATTTCTTTATCTTGTTTAATTCATGCATAATGGTTAGCTTGAGAAGAATGATTATGTTTATTGAGTTTGATTTACGTAGCTAAATTTGATCGCTAGGGATAGGGGAATGATTATTCTAGTTTAATACGTATCTCTCGGGCTTCGATTTGTTCATACTTATGTGAGTTGTTTTGATTAGAGATTGATATATTCTTGTTTGATTGATTGATAATCGAAGAGTGACACTTCGATATTGTAATTGGTAACAGTTGAATGTTAATTTGTCGAGTTAGGGTTTTATTGATTCTATGTGGTTAGTTGATTAAACACCTTCTAATTGAATTAGCGACTTTCTGAACCGAAAGGGGAAGAAGTCGTAGACCTAGGCTCGCATGATGTAGATGATTTCGTAACTGAATAATCTATGTGTTTTAGATTGAAATATGTGCTTGTCGATGACATGTCTCTTGTTATGAAAAGTTATTGGGATTGCATAATTGGCCTGTATTGTATGCTCGAACTTGTACGTCTATGTTCAATCCCTTGTTACGAAAAGTTATTGGGAGCGAACCACTAGATGTCTAAGCGAGAGTGTCGATCTCGAACCGAACAATTGATTGTCCGGTTGTGCTAGAACTTGAATTAATTATCCCCGATTCCCTAGCTTCTCCATCCTTGTTTCGTTTACATCTTTAGGTAGTTTACTGCTTTTTACTATTTCTTAGTTGGTAATTGCTCCACCCCTATTTGATTAGTATGTTTAGGATTTTTTTTTTTTTTTTATTTTTTATGTGTTATCAATATCATTTCTAAATTCCGAACCGCCTTCCTCGTGAGATCGACCCGAGGAACGAATCTTTCGATTTGGTACTCGGTAAAAATAACAATTTGTACACAACAATTATGCTCGTTTATTATAGCACGAACATGACCAAGTTTTTGCGGACTAAACGAGCGTTCGCGATAAAAAATGTATTTTATAATTTTATATATTATATATATAGTATATACATATATAATATAAAATATATAAATATGGACATATATTAAATAATATAACTTGTACAGTATTATAATAAGAAAAAAAAAAGCAACAAACACGAACACGAACTTGTCGAATAATTCGAACACTTCACGAACAAGTTCGGCTATATAAAGGAACGTACACGGACTTGTCAAACCAATAAACAAATGAATGCGGACAAATTTTTTTGTTTGAATACTAAATGTACGAACACGAACATGTTCGAAAATTAATCGAATTCAAGCTCGAAAACCTGAAGCTCAGCTCGATAACAACCCTACCTTAACCTAACAATAATTTATTATGATTATTATTATTGTTATTATTACTTGTAATTATAATCTGGCTCATAAAAAGGTTTACTCTCGCTAAGTGAATAGTTCTATTAGGTTGTTTTTAGCTCCATTGAGTATTCAAAGCCACCAATAGGGCAATTTACAAGTGCACTTTTATAGTTTAAGCAGTAGCAGTCATCAATTATAATGATGTTATTCGATTAGAAGTCATTTGCAATTTAATATTTTATTTATTTATTTATTTATTTTTTGGTACAATGATCTAATATATTTTTCAAAGAATATAGGGAGACAGAAAAAATAAAATAAAATAAAAATTTTGAAAATAAAACCCTTAAACAATCGATTCGTAACGTGGCGATTGAAAGTGGACTTTTTTGGATTGAATGTAATATAGATAGATAGATATATATTGGATAATGTAAATTAAGAAAAAATATTTGATTACATGGAAATTTATATTTGACTTTGAGGTCGTGGCATGAGGTTATTGGGGTGTCGAATCTCCGTCGAGTTTTGGCTTAGGTCTTTAGCTTCCTTCATTGTACCCAAAAATAAAATAATTAATGTGATTTGATATAATTATAGTAAAATATTCCTCCTATATATTAATCCAGAACGCGCTAAGTCTACGTGGCTGCTTCTGGTGCTCGGAATCCTATGTGGCAAAAATACATACTTCATATCGTTGTTAGGTTTGGATAAGTTTAATTTAATTCCAAACCAAAAATAATTAGGTTCAGATTACCATAAATATGTTGATTATTTATGGTCATGTTACATGTATTAATTGTATTTTAATATCATTCCTTATTATAACTATTGAATTGTATATATATTTTAAAAGTTAATAACTTTTATATTTTTTATCAATTTTACATATGTAATATATCAAATTAATCTTCTTTTGATGAGTTTCGATTTAACCTCCATATAGTATGTATAAAAAAAAATAATTTATATTTATCTTTATAACAATAATAAATATATTTTAATATTAATTGGAAAAATAAAATTATTCATCAACTAATATATTTATATTTCAAGTAGTTATATGATTTAAGTTATAAAAACTAATATAATATAACACATGTAAGTCATAAGTAACACATATCTTTCTAAAATATAGAATAATATATTTTTTTTTTGTAAAAAAGTAAACTAGATTTTTTAGTTTTCTCATTAATTTTAATATTAAAGAATAATTTTTTAATAAGTACCTGTGTAATACACGGATGTTGTACTAGTAATAGATAATTAAAAATATGTCAGATGATAAGTAATATTTTATTAAAAATTGTGTAATAATGATTAATTAATAATATTTAATTATATCAATAATATTAATAAATATTAAGATGGATTAGAGTAATAGTGAATTCCAAATTAAAAGTTTATATCAAATCGTGGTTCCGTAAAAAAATATTATTCTGCTGAGTAAAAAAAATAGATTGATTTCCAATGGCACCAACAATTGAAACAAAAATGAAAAGTTGAAAACAAAATAGGAAATATTATTATTATTTTTTTTTAAAAAAAAAAACATACAATTTGGAAATACTTATATTCACAACACAATTGAGACTAGAAAACAGCTAGCCAACTAGATATACGCTAAACGACCAAATAAGCTGAAAAAACTAGCTCTAGCTTATAATTTATAGCTGTAAAACTAGCTTATGGCCTTGTTTAGCGATCAGCGGATAACGGATAGCGGATAGCGGATTGTATTAGCGGATAGCCGATAGCGGATTATATTAGCTGATTTGACTAGCGGATTGCATTAGCGGTTTTTAAATAAGTGTTTGGTAAATAGCTGAAAGCTTATAGCTGTTTGACATTGCAAATTACCAATGAAGACATTTTATTATTTAGGGTGTATTCTTTTAATAATAATATATTAAAATATTTAATTTTTTTTAGTTGGTAATTTATAAATATATATATTTTTTTAAAAAAAATTACTAACAATTGATTAAGAAGATATGAATTTTATATTTTTCTAGATAAATTAATCATGTGGATGACATATTATTATTTGTTAGCATCATAAATCAATGTAGATTGTAAAATAAATAATACAAATTAAAAAGTTCTAAATTAAAATTGTAGATTGTGAATCCTCTATCCCCAAAAAGCTCCTCTAATGAGCTTTTTCTAAATTAGAGTTTTGGGCCTAAAAAGCTTATCAAATAAGCTATTTACCAAACAAGCTCAATAGCGGATTTGACGGGTCAAACCTCTCAATAAAGTCTAATCCGCTAATTTATCCTCAATCCTCTATCTTCCAAACGGGGCCTATATGATAAAAATGTTTGGTAAAATGAGCTGATAAACTAGCTGGAATAAAAAAGTCAACTAGCTTATTTGAAAAGCTACTTAAAGAAGCTTATCAAATAAACTCAAACTTTTTAAAACAGCTCGTCTACCAAACGAGACTTATTTGAATATATGGAGCTTTATAAAGTAACCAAATAAGCTATAATCTAGTTTATTTGTCTACATGCTATGTTTGGTAGACCCATAAACTAGCTTATAGCTTTTTTTATTAGCTTATAAGCTCCATATATTTAATTAAGCTCCGTTGGGTAGACTAGCTGATTTAAAAAAACTCGACCTTATTGGATAAACTTCTTTCAGTAGCTTTTCAAATAAGCTCGTTGAAATTTTTATTGCAGCTAGTTTATCAGCTAATTTTACCAAACACTTTTAATCATATAAGCTAACTTTTCAGCTATAATCCAAAACTATAAGCGATCAACTCGAAAATTATTAATAAGCTATCAGCTAATTTATCAACTAGCCTCATACCATAAACTTACCAACATTCAAAATAGAAATAAAAGAAAAATAATAAAAACAAAATAATAAAAACCCATACATGTACACAATAATAAAAACAAAAGTATAATAATAACAACAATAGTAATTACCATAATTGCAGGCGGGCCCCCCCTAAACAGTTAAATTAATCCATCATCCCTCCCTCCTTTTGTCGTCTTCCTCATCTCCTCTCTCACCGTCGTTTGTTCGTTCATTCATTCGCATTTGAGTTTTGACTCATTTATTTATACAGAAAAACCAAAAAAAAAAACTCTCTCTCTTTCTCTCTCTCTCTCTCTCTAAGCCCCCATTATTATAGTAATTTCACGCGTTTTTTCTCCTCCCTTTTTTCTCTCTCCACGCCGCACTGTGTTTGTTTTTATTTATTTATTAATTAATTTAGAGAGAGAGAGAGAAAAAGATGAGTTTTTAATTTAATCTTTTCTCTCCTCTCTCTGTTTTGATGTTTATCTTCTTCTCCTCATCGATCCCTTTTTTCGAGCTTCTGTTGGGTAGAGAGATTGGATTTAAAGACAAACCCCCATTTTTTGTCCTCTCCCTCAGAATATATAATAATCTCTGCTTGTTTTCATCTCCGTTTTCTTGAATTTTTTTCAGAGAGCTTAAACCCCATAAATAGGGCTCATGAGCGAGACAGAAAAATCAATAAATAAATAAATAGCTTGTAAAACGTTCTGCGCGAGATCGTCTTCGCAGGATATAATCTGGGCAGCGACTGTTTTTTTTTTTTGTTCTTCGAAATGGCGGGAAGTAATGAGCTGAACGTCAGCGAGTCTAAGGTAAAAATCGTACTCACACTCCGTGATTTTTTGTGATTCGCAGCTGATCTGCTGATTGAAGTGATATCTGGGCTTCTCTGTTGTTGCGATTTTTGGGTTTGTTCTTGATTTTGGAGTTGCTTGAATTTTGCTTGAGTAGGGTTCCAAAGATTTGATTTTTACACACTTTTTTTCGAGGGTTTTTTT